ATATTGAATGATGAAAATTTACAGCACTTACGAGAAAGCAGTTTACTTTTAACAATTTATTATAAGACATAGTTTTTGGGACAGGAATATAAATGCAAAGTTTATTAATTTATAAAGGTCAATTTCTGAGATACCGAACGACCTACGTTTCACTTTATATTTAATTATTGTAGATAATATCCAAATTTATTTTACATACGCGAAACATAGTCACTGTCAATGATCGGATGGCATCGGCTCATTTACGGAGATTGACGAAGTTAGCAACCAATAGAAATGCAGGCGCCATATGACTGCACTCGCTAGCCACACTTGCTCACCAAAAATTACTACAGTGGATAGTAGGTTTTAGTGGAAAATGTTTTCATTTGTCAGATATTGTCTAATTAAATTTGAGAAAACTATAATCAATTTTCGCTACATTTACAACTCTTACACAAAATATTAAAACTTGCTATTTCAATGTAGCAAATTTATCTACTTCTTTTGTAAATTTATCTAATTCTGTAGTACATTATGCTAAAAGTCCCCTTATTTCCGGTCATTGCAACCATTTTTAGTAATTTTTACAAATGTGGGTCTCTCCGTGTACATATTAAGTTAAATGTTATTAGAGTTGTGAGATTTTTAGAGTAGAATATAGTATTCGTAATCAGTGACTAGAAAAACTCTTAGATCGTAAGTTTCAAAAAAATATGAATTTCTTCTTAAAATGTGTCTGCCATATTAATCCGCCCTTTAGAATTTTTGAAAACTGCCATGTAATTCGGATTCAGCGACCCTGAAAACATGGGGGGATGTGCAACACCGCCGATTTCTGATCTACAGTTTAATATTGAACAGAGCCAAGTATTGCCATTTTTTATGTCCTCAGTAACTTGTTTTTGATATATAACTCACGAGACAGCTCGCAGCTAGGTTTGCTGTACGTAAGTTGACTTAAATTTCTCGAGCAGGAAATATTTCTCGCGCTTTACATTTCTAGTCGTTTCGGGAAGGGTTTTAATTTATTTTATAGATAAGAATGTGTTTATTGTTGGTTTTTTAAGTGTTTTTAAATATCTGTTTATATTTTATGTTTCCATTGCATTGTATTGCATACAAATCATTTTTTACAAAATATCATATTTGGGGTGATGTGCCTAAAATTAATAATTAAAGAGATTTTCATCGATATTTATGCATTACATACCTGAATTTAACTGGTGTTGCACATCACCCCAACTTTTTTGGAAAATGCAAAAACAGACGTTTTTGAAAAAGCGAAAAATTTGTAGGAAAAGTTTAAAATTCCATTGTTTGTGTGGATGTGTTACCAATATGAATAAATATAGGTATACTTTAATGAAAGTGAATAATACATCCTTAAAATTCATAATGTAATTTAAGCGAATCTTCCAAACGCGAAATCTTTTAAACATGCTTTGCAATTATGTTATTTATTTATTTATTTATTAATACAAAAAGGTGTTTTGTTTTCTTAATCGCAAAGAGGAAGTATGAAGTATTAAAAGCCGCATGGCTTCATTTATATACACAGACAGACAAATACGAATCAGAGCTGGAGTGGTATTAGCTAGTGGTATGAGTTGCATCTTGAATGAAAAGATGAATCACGTTCTAAGGAATCGTGTTTTGCTAACGGTGATTTGTGTAGAATCGACCTACTTTTCAAGGATCAATTAAATTGTAATGTTTTGTTTATATTTTTAATAATACTTATAGCATTATTTTATCATGAAATTTAGTCTTTAAAATATATTTAAATTATATGATCAGAATTGTTTATCAAATAAGATTATTATCAAAGTTTAACATACGTTATCAATTAGTAATTTATTTCGACTAACATTAATTAAAACTATTACAAAATAATTAATTTAATAACGAAATCGGCGCTGTTGAATTAGTAAAAACTGACAAATTTAGATTTATAATTACTCTATAACTATATAGAGAGTACAACACTTTATTGTTGAATAATATTCCGTTTTTATTCAAAAAATATTCACTTCAAAAAATTGTTTTATTATTAGAAAACTAATATTGTATTTATATTACCATGTCCTTATTTCTTTAAATTCATCTTTATATTCAATATTTTTTTAATAATTTTTTTAAGTATACATATATTGATAATATTTTCATAATAAGTGTAAATTTGCAAATACTATAGCTTTCACTTAAAATTATAACGTGGTGTTATGTTTGTAAACTAGTTGTTCAACTGAATGATTTGAGTCATAAGTGGATTTCAGTTTTAAGTGAAGGCTGTTGAATTCAAAAAGATATTTGTACAATAATGTTAACAAAATATTGGTTACAATTAAAGTTTACCGTTTTTTTAATAACAGAAAAGAAAAGAAATGTTATTGGTTCCTATCATCTATTTAGATTTTCTAATCTTGATATCAAAATAGTTTTCATTTCTAACATGACAGTAGAGAGTAAGCAAAAGTAAAAGTAAATCGAAGGTAGGAAAGTATCACAGATTCAGGAGTAAGGAATTTTGTATGTAATATGAGAATATGTGGAAAACTACAAATTTAAGAGATCATGTTTTTTATTTTACTTTTTTGTAGTTTTCTATAAATTATAAAAATTTCATCCTGAATTATTGCTTCTTTATACTTAGAGTTTCCTTCAAGGATTCTAGGTTAAATTTCTTTTTCTCAATTGATATTTTAAGAATAAATTAAAAAAAATTTTGAATTAGAATTGATAATTTTTTAAATTATTTTCTTAACCTATTAAAATAGCCAATGGGAAATAGCCATTAGTCTACCATTGGTGCATTAATGGCCCAATATTGGACCACTAATGGTAAAATCGTGGGATGTCCACGCCGATGCCAATAATTGGCAAACCATTATTGGCACATTATTAGCTGCCATTAAAAAACCAATAATAAAAAAAAATTGTTTTATTAAATTTTATTAAATAATAAATTTACTTATTTAATAATTATTTTATTTATTATTATTATTATTTATTATTATTAAAAATATTAATTTTTTTAATTAATTATTTTATAGAAATGGTTATTATTTTCTATCACATCGAAATGTGAATAACCCTTTCGTTCAGAGTCTAAAAATTATTTACCTCACATCCATCAGTGCAAAAATAGGAGAGGACGGGCAGAATAAAATTCCACAAATATTTGTGAGAATGCTGCCTCCTTATATACTTTTCAAGTTTCATGTTAGTTCCGAGAGAGTTTTAAGGAACACCTCCTATGAGGCGTTGAGCGAACTACATACAATTACTTACCGACGCTGCAGAAATTATCATGTAGTAAGTATGTAGTTCGCTCAACGCCTCATAGGAGGTGTTCCTTAAAACTCTCTCGGAACTAACATGAAACTTGAAAAGTATATAAGGAGGCAGCATTCTCACGAATATTTGTGGAATTTTATTCTGCCCGTCCTCTCCTATTTTTGCACTGATGGATGTGAGGTAAATAATTTTTAGACTCTGACTCTGAACGAAAGGGTTATTCACATTTCGATGTGATAGAAAATAATAACCATTTCTATAAAATAATTAATTAAAAAAATTAATATTTTTAATAATAATAAATAATAATAATAATAAATAAAATAATTATTAAATAAATAAATTTAATAAAAATTTTTTTTTTTATTATTGGTTTTTTAATGGCAGCCAATAATGTGCCAATAATGGTTTGCCAATTATTGGCATCGGCGTGGACATCCCACGATTTTACCATTAGTGGTCCATTATTGGGTGCCAATAATGGGACAATAATGGAATGGTGGCTCCCATTATTGGGCCATTAATGCGCCAATGGTTTTTTTCCCATTGGGTAGTCAGATAATTTATCTAATTCATTGGACTCCGGAGCGTGATACAATTTGTAGGAAGGGGCAACTATTTATTGGATAATACATTCAACTGTTTATTATTTTTGTGAATAGGTAGGGTGCCTTATTTTGCTCGGATACCGCATTATCCAATAATTAGATGCTTTAACTATAATTTATTTGATCGCACTCCAGACTCCAACAAATTTTATATATGTTTTAATCTTTTTTCTGAATGAAGGTGTATTTTTTTAGAGTAATTACATTTATTTTTTAAAGTCACTAACGTAATTCTTTCTTAGATAGTAATATATCAATAAAAAAACTCGGTTATTTGAATATTTTTAAAAGTAAAAAAGTTATTTGCATTTTTTTACAAGAAAATTCCTTTTTCTGAGATTTAAGTATTTTTTAATAATTTTTTCATAACGCGGTGCAAAAAAGGGCACTTTTTTGCACCTTGTTATGAAAAATATCGTTCGTAACTAGTGCTAGCTTCGCTTCGCCTATACAGTTTGTTCCAAAAAAAGTGCTCATTTAAAAATTGACAACTGCCTGCACTCGTTACGAAATATACTATTTTCTAATAGGCAATTTTTTGAAAAGTTTTTTATTTGTAAATTTTTGGATATCCGTCTCATGATAATAAAAATTCGTTATAGAAGCATAAAATAGAGGAAAGTGTGCAGAGTTTCATAATTTAGAGAAATGACCATTCAATCTTCCTCGATTACGAAGAAAAGAAAATCTAGAAGGTTGTCAATCAATTTAAGTGTTGTAAAATGTCAAGTCTTGTGAGATTAATTCTTGTCGATGATGTGCAATTTTAAGTAAATTGTTTGTTTTATTTTTCCTGTGTGCACGTCGACAATCACAATAAAAAAGTTAAATCTCTACAAATTCTATTTCTTCATCTTACAAAACGTATATTATACTAAATTTCAGATTCATATTTAGATTATATAAATTTTTATATTTGCAAAATTGTTTTCAAATTTTCAAATACAAAAGTATATAGAGTTGTACTGCCTTTTCTTCCGATTATTTATGGATTAATCTTACTCAAGATTAATATTTATTTAACTTGTGTTTTAAATTATAATTTTCTAACGCTTCATAATTAAGTAATTATTTATATTATATTATTATTATAATTAATGATGTAATTTTTAGAATGGAGTTGAGGTTTTCAAGATGCTCGGTGGCTCTGCTGCTGCTGCTTCTATTCGTTGCAGCAAATGCTGTTCGTGGACCAGAAGTACCGGTAAGTTTTCAAATTGATAAGAATTGAAAGAAAATATTGATTTATTATTCTTTTGTAACCATTTTTGTAAAAAGTTCTATAGAATCATTTTATATAAATTCTAGTGAATATTCTATTGATTTTCACAAGAACGATCCTCGTGTTGCATGTCGAACGATTTTCGATCTCACTTCTTTAATGAAAGGAAGCGAAAAAACAAAAGACATCTACATGAATTCTATAGTAAATTTTTGTAAACTTCAATTATTTCTAAAAATTAACGCTATATTATGCTTTTAATATTCAATTATTATCTAAGATTTTAACTGAAATTCATTTTTAAATCTATTTTTATTAAAAAATTCTACTAGAATTTACTTATATAAATAACAAAAATAATTTATTGTATATTTGAATATTTCTTAAAATTGAATTCTCATAAAGAATTTTATCAACAAATTTTTAAATAATTGAATTCGTTTGACGAATTTTAATAAAAATTTTAATAATAATTACATTTATCTAGGAAGTCGATTAAAATTTTATTAAAAATAATTGAAATTCTGCGATGAGATTTACTATATTTATGAAAATAATTAAATTCATAAAAAGAATTTTATTATTTATAAAAATAATTGAATCCCTATAAAAATGTTATAATTTATAAAAATAATTGAATTATATTGCGAAGTAAAAAATTTGTAAATAATTGAATTTCTGTGAAATTTTTATTACCTATTTTATGAAAATATTAGATATTGAAAATTATGAAATTGAGGAAAATTTTTGAAAATAATTGAAATTTTGCAAAGAATTTGATTAACATTTTTGAAAATAATTGAATTTCTGAAAAGAATTTATTTTATTATTTATAAAGATAATTGAAATTTTGACAAGAATTACTTCCTCATAGAGGAAGTATTGTAATACCAAAATTTTTCGAGTTCGATTTTTTGACATATCTTTATGTTATTTAACCTCAAGAGTTCAAAAATGACATTTTTAAAAAATGTCATTCCGCATGTGTGTGTGTATGTGTGTGTAAACATCCCATTTTCATAAATATCTCGAAATCATGAAGAGCTTTTGGGTTTAATTTTTTTTTAAATTGTAGATCTCACCTGCGGACATAAAGTGAGAGTACTTTCAGATATATTAATAAAGTTTAACTTAATTTTTTTTTGATTTTTAATTTTGCCAAAAAACTTTTTTTGCCCATAACTTTTAAAAAATGTTGAGACACCTATAAATTTTTTTCCATAATTTTGTAGAGTTTTTTTAGACGCATCTTTTGAGCCCTAATTGAACATTTTTCGTACATATTAACTGGCGTTATTAAACTTTTAAAAATCAAAAATTTTGAAAAATAAGACTTTTTTGAAAATTTTGTTGAAAAACGTAGAAGTACACTACCGTCGGGAATTATCGGTACGGCTGCACGCGCACAGCCCAAAAACATACCAATCTTTAAATCACGATTTTTTTGTAAATGCAAATGTCAGAAAATTAACAAATATACCATTCGAAAGATTATTAAATTCTACGATTAATGATACATAACTGAAAATTTTAATAATTTATACAAAGATTGCAGCAATCGACAAATTTGACAAAAAAATTTAAAAAATAAAATTTTTGTGAAAATTTTTTCAACTCCTGCATATTTTTTAAAAATTGTAGAAAAAATTTGAAACTTACATAGGTGTGATCATTGAAGTGTCATCTTTAATTTAAGACTAAAAAAATTCAAAAATCTTATTGGGTTCGTGAAATATCGTTATAAACGTACGAACATGTTTTTTGACAAATGCATTGAATTAGTTGATTTTGAACAGTTTTTGACTGAAAATGCTCGGCCGTTTATAATGATATCTCGCTAACCGATTAAGATTTTTGGATTTTTTTGGTCTTAAATTAAAGATGACACTTGAATGATCACACCTATGTAAGTTTTAAATTTTTTCTACAATTTTTAAAAAAATATGCAGGGGTTGAAAAAATTTCCACAAAAATTTTATTTTTTAATTTTTTTTGTCAAATTTGTCAATTGTTGTAATCTTTGTATAAATTATTAAAATTTTAAGTTATGTATTATTAATCGTAGAATTTAATAATCTTTTGAATGGTATATTTGTTAATTTTCTGACATTTGTATTTACAAAAAAATCGTGATTTAAAGATTGGTATGTTTTTGGGCTGTGCGCGAGCAGCCGTACCGATAATTCCCGACGGTAGTGTAACTTTAAAATTATCATTACCAACTTGTAAAGCATTAAAAAACGCTTCGATTGACCTATTTTTGAACCTAATTCGATAATAAATTTCGAAATTATTGGTATTTTAAAAACCAAAAATTGTGAAAAATGACATTTTCTCAACTTTTTTGTTTGAAAATTTTTGTTTAACTATTGAATTATTGTAACTATTTTGTAGAGTATTTAAAAGTACATTGATTGACCAAAAATTCAATCACTTTTACTATATTTATTATAAAAAGTTATTCGTATATTTCTATTATTTTTATCTCTATGAGGAAGTAAAGTGTTCATGAAATGAGCACCAAAATTTAAAAAAAAAATATACAACTTGGCAGCGGTTTTTTAAAAATTTTTGAACAGAATTGAATTTCTGCTAAGAATTTTATTACTTCTGAAAATAATTGAATTTTGCAATCATTTGTAATTTCTCTAAAATTTTCCAAATTATATCGTACAATTTACGAACTTTCTGTTCTCTTTTAATCAAATTACGTAATTTACGGACCTTTTTTAAAAAAACTGACTTTTACTGACTTATACTACTATATAATATTTATTTTGAATTTTTCGAAATATTTTTGGAAGGGAAATTTTTATTTTACTGTTATCTTTTGATTAGAAAAAATTATATTTTCATTTATGAAATTTTAAGGTTTGAAATAGTACATTCAAAAAAACATATTTTTGTTACTACCATAATTATGGCTAATTCTCACATATTGTATTGGTGGACACGGTACACGGACACGGTACACGGTACATATTACTGTTTCAGCCATACGCAGCGCAGTATAGATTAGCCATATATATGAGAGACAGTAATGTGTATGTGAATAACACCTATACTGTATTTGAAGAACAGCAATATTGTTTGTTTATTTCAAACAAAAATCCTAACCATACTCCTTTGTCATTGAAAATATAATTTTTTTTCAATGTAGAAACAAAAGTTAACTGAACGATGTACACGTATTTCATTTGTGTGTAAACATATATATTATAATTTCTTTCCGGAATCTTTCTAGGGAAAGGAGTTCGCTCATCCGTCTAAGAAACAAGAAAATAATTATACGTTTTTCATTATTCACAGTCAATAATATTTTTCATTAAAGACAATTTCACTTTATTCTTCGCTGCACTTATATAACTAAATTTTGGATGACCTAAATAAATTTCAATATAATTGATTTCTTGAATTGGGAAAGTTTTAAATACTTTCACTGTAAAAACAAAGTTTTAAAGTACTTAGAGCTCAAACGTGTTTTTTCTTAAGTTCAACCCATTCCCAAGTAACCTGTAAGTTTGCTGCAAGCTTGCTGCAAACCACAAGATTTGCAATCTTACACGTAAGCTTACTGCAAGTTTGCTGCAAGTACTAAAATGTCCTACTTATGCTGCAAGATTGCACAGCAAGCTTAGGACAAGCCAACACTGCAAGTTTCTTAAAAATTCCCAAATATTTAATTATATAATATTTAGCAAATTATTTAATATTTAGTTTTTATTTAATTTTAATATATTTAATATTTATTTAAAATAATATAATGGCAACAACGTTATAATAAAAATGTCATTAATTTCTCCAATCCACATAATTGTAGTTGTGTACTATTATCCGTGATCAGTGGATAATAGTAAAAAATTGTAAATGTCGTGGCAGACATTAATTATTGATATTATGATCTAAGATACTATCGTGAAGCACCTGTTTAGGGGACTGATACTTATACTCTCCGCGAGACAAGTCGTGCGCGAGAGAGGTATTTCTCGCCATCTATCAGGGAATTGGAAAAGTAATAGAAGTTTCTCTTATAATTCTCTAACTCCGTGATAGATGGCGAGAAATACCTCTCTCGCGCACGACTTGTCTCGCGGAGAGTACAAGTATCAGTCCCCTAAACAGGTGTTTCACAATAGTATCTTAGATCATAATATCAATAATATTAATGTCTGCCACGACGTTTACTATTTTGTACTATTATCTACTGATCACGGATAATAGTACACAACTACAATTCTGTGGATTGGAGAAATTAATAACATTTTTATTATAACGTTGTTACCATTATATTATTTTAAATAAATATTAAATATATTAAAATTAAATAAAAATTAAATATTAAATAAATTGCTTAATATTATATACTTAAATATTTGGGAATTTTCAAGAAACTTGCAGTGTTGGCTTGTCCTAAGCTTGCTGTGCAATCCTGCAGCAAGTAGGACCTTTTTGTACTTGCAGCAAACTTGCAGCAAGCTTACGTGTAAGATTGCAAATCTTGTGGTGTAAGTTTGCTGCAAACTTACAGGTTACTTGGGTTTTTGGCCTTAAAATAAAAATAAGACAATTTTAGGTCTTAAAATCAGTTCTCTACTGAAAAATTTAGTCCATATTTAGACTAATGTAAGGTGCTTTAGCCAAAATCAGGCTTAAAACAAGACTTATTTTTTACAGTGTATACCATATTGTATTTCTGATTTTTTAATTGCCATATAAAATCACTATTTTACTCATATTAATATCGTTGAAGTAGAATGTTTGTTTGAACCCACGAGCTGGGATAATCCAACTATACACATATAAAATAGCAGAACCTGATTTCTAGATTAGTTAAATCTTCTTAGCCAAACTATTTTTTAGCTAATATTTACAAAGCATTTCTTTCAGTTTATAAGATCTATATAAAAATCTAATATGCGTAGTCAGTTTGACGCGAAATTTGACTAAATTTTGCATAAAAGTTTAAAATTTCTTAAACTTTC